AGCATCTGCCTTCGGCTCAGGTCATGATCCCGGGGCCCTGGGATGGAGCCCTGCGTGACTGTTCAGCAGCGAGTCTGTTTCTCCCTCTCCTTCTGCCCCTCCCCCGCTGCTGTGCTCTCTCTTTGAAAAATAAATAAAATATTTATTAAAAAAAATAATAAAAAATAAAATAAAGCTTCTGGAAGATAATATAGGAAAATATGTCAGTTACTGTGGAATAGGGAATGATTTCTTACCCAGATTGAAAAGTGCTAACCATGAAGAGTAAGAATGATAAATTTGAGTATATTAAAATTAAGAACTTCTGGGGGCACCTGGGTGGCTCAGTCGGTTAAGTGTCTGCCTTTCGCTCTGTCATGATCTCTGGGTCCTGGGATCGAGCCAGCAGCATAGAGCTTTCTGCTCAGCAGGGAGTCTGCTTTTCTCTTTCTGTCCCTCTGCCCCTCCCCACTGCTCATTCTCTCTCAAATAAATAAATAAAATCTTTTAAGAAAATTAAGAATTTCTGTTTATTAAAGAACACCATTAAAAGGGCAAGCAGCCTGGGGGAGATATTTGTAGTACATATACCCAACAAAGGATCCATAACCAGAATATATTAACAAAGCCTGTAAATCAGTAAGAAAAAAACCAGACAACCCAATAGAAAAAGATGGCAGGAGATTTGAATAAGCACATCTAAAAAAGGAAATTCAGATGGCTAATAATACATGAAACAAAAAGGCCTCAGCCTCATGAGTGATCAGGAAAATGCTATAGATCTCCAAGAGACATGAAAACATGTTCACACAAAACCTGTACAGGAATATTCGTAGCAGCATTATTCATAATAGCCATAAATGTGGAAACAACCCAAATGTCTATCAGTTTATTAATGGATAAATAAAATGTAGCATATCCATTCAATGGACTATTACTTGGCAACAAAGAGAAATGAAGTACCAATACATGCGACAAATGGATAAACCTTGAAAGAAGGCAGCCACAAAAGGCCACAAAAGATTCCATTTATATGAAATGTCCAGAAAAGGCAAATCCATAGAGATATAAAGTAGATTAATAGTTGCCTGGAATTGGAGATGTTGAGGGATATGCGAAGTGACTATTAGAGTACAGGATTTCTTTTGGGGATGATGAAAATGGTCTAAAATTGATTGTAGTGATGGTTGTGCAACTTCATGAATACCCTAAAAACCATTGAACATTATGCTTTAAATGGGTGAATTGTATGGTATGTGATTTATGTCTCAGTACAGCTGTTTTTGAAAAATGAGGTAGTACTTCTGCACACACACCAGAATGGCTAACATTTTTTTTTTTTTAAACTGGCAATACCCAGCATTGGCAAGGATATGGAATAATGGCAACTCTCATATCCTGCTGATGGGAGTATAATTGGTATCACCATTTTGGAAGCCTGTTTCATATCCCTTCCTAATTTGAACACAGGCATACCTTATGATCTAGGATTTCCATTCATAGATATATATCCAACAGAAGAGATAAGCCCAAAAATGTTCTTGGCAGCATTATTTATAATAGCAAAGCCTGGAAACAACCCAAAAGTCTATCAATAGTAAAATGGATAAATGAATTTTGATGTAGTCATACAATAGAAAGTAACATAGCAATGGAGATGAATGGACTACAAAAGTATGACTATCACAAACATATTGAGCGAAAGTAGCCATACACGATACTTACTGTCTGACTTCATTTTTATAAAATTAAAAAAAACAGGTAAAATTAAGCTAAAATTAGAGTTCAAGGGGATTCATGCTTAAGTAGGAAAGCTGTAAAGAAAGTAAGAAAATAATTACAATAAAAGGCAAGACAGTGATGAGTTTTGGGAGTAAGGAAAGCTTACTAATAGAGAAGAGGCAGGAGGATGCCTTCCAGGTTGTTGGCAATGTTAGATTTTCTTTATCTGGTGATGATTAACTTATTCATTATGTGATGATTCATTGTAATGTACATTTTTGTTTTATGTACTCTTCCATGTGTGTTTCACAATAAAAAATGTTTAAGAAATATTTAACGCAGCACATTTATCAGTATATATCTTTATATGTGTGCATGTATATTGAACCTAATCAACAGTTAGTGCTCATTTTGTAAAGCTAGTATTCTAAGGACTAATAATTTAATTTCTCCTTTATTGTAGGAATATGTTTATCCAGAAGCCAGAGATAGACAATACTTATTATTTTTCCATAAAGGAGCCAAAAAGTCACGTTTTGACCTAGAGAAATATAATCAACTCAAGGATGCAATTGCTCAGGTAAGTGTTCCAAAAATAAAAATAAATTCCAGCTCCATTTTGTATGGTATTGGTATAATAATAATAATAATAATAATAATATATTACCATTACTATAGTAATATGTTACTATATTACTATTACTAATAATGTATTACTATTATCCATAACTATAGTGCTTCAATGGGTAAACTCTGAAAGAATGATCACACCCTCTTCTTACTATATTAATTATTCGTCAGATAATAAGAATGTCTATTTTAGCATGGACACCTCTCTGGAAAGTTTTAGAACACAAGCAGGTGAAAAGATGATGGGTCCTGTCTATCCTATTAACAGTAGCATATTGAAATTTGTAGAGCTATTTTTACTTTTTTCTTTTTGTTTCTTTAAAGTTGTCTATTTTTACTTTTCTCTCTTTTTAAAATCTTTTTACAACAATTTCCAAAGATTTCCCACCTAAAATGTGTGATACCAGTGGGGCAAAAATAAACTCCAGGTAAGAGAGACTACTGCAAATGTTTGCCAGGCACAAGTCAGAGTTTATTGAACTAGAAGATGCTGTTTTTAAAAAGATTGATACATTTTATTTTTCATAATAGTTACCTCTTTCAAATTTCTGCGGGTGCCTCCTTCTGATATCTTTGATTTTGCTGAATAAATCTTTATTCCTCTTCTCTGCAGTCTTACATGATTTTAGAGATTTTTAAAAAATCTCTAGAAGCTTTTCTATCCTCTTTAATGTTTGGTTGCTCTTCTCTGTCTCTTATTGGTACCAAGAGGTTGTACTTTGAATAGGCTTAGTCTGTCTTCCTGCCTTGGCCTAAGTTGACTCGTGTCTTCTTGTTGCTCTGTGTGGTGGTTCTCAACTGGAGGGAACGCATCAAATCATCCCTGGCGCTGTTAAAAATACAGATGCTTCAGCCCCACCCTAAGCCTAACAATCCAGCTCCATAGGGGTGAGGTCCCAGCCCATGTGAGTTTTGAAAGTGCTGCAGTTGACAGCACATCCCTGTTTTTAAAATCACTAAGCGAAAAACTTAAACAACTACTGGAGGAATAACTAAAGGTTGAGAACCGCCGTCAGGGTGCATCACGTGCTCCCCAGGTTCTTGAGCCTCTGAGTCCTGCCGTGTTGACAGCACAGCCTTTTCTGGAGGCTCTGTTGACAGCTGAAGCTGCCAGGACAGACTTCCATTCTGGTCTCCCTTTGTTGTCCCGGGCCTTTAAAGCCCTTTGCTTCTGAGGCACTCTTATTTTGAGAGTAATTGAGATGATTTCTGTGATTCATAGTGATGCAGAAAAGACAATTTCCTTTTCTCAGGAGATAATAATATCATTGAAAGCTTCACTAGCCAATTTTTCTCACCTTTTGTTTCTATTTTAGGCAGAAATGGACCTTAAGAGACTGAGAGACCCATTACAAGTACATCTGCCCCTTCGACAAATTGGTGAAAAAGATTGATCTGCAAAGAGCCTCTGAATCCTGGCAGAAAGAACACCTGTTTATAACTCTTGCCTTTTTAATTAAAGCATTGCAGGTGGAAGCTGGGAGCCAAGTCAGGGTAGAGGGTTTTTACCTTTAAAAAACAAAAACAAAAAGGATCTTAGGGAAGAAGGGAATATTAAAATCTAAGGATCAGGCTTTGTGGAATATAAGCTCAAAGGGCTTAGTGAATATTGTCTTAATCAAGCATCTTAGTTTCTGGATGAAAATGATGCATTATGTAGTTGAGAGATTCATAAAGAGACAAGGATGCTGGGGGTGTTCCTTTCTTGCATCTTCTTGCAGGGTCAGCAAAACAGTAACACACCAGCACCCCACTCAGCTCTAATTTTTTTTTTTTAATTTAACTTTTCTTATTTTTGACATAGGAGTAAATAAATCTACCGGAAAAGCAAATCCTCAAGATGTGTGGGTGGCAAACAGAGTCTGAGTCCATGCCATTAGCATTTATTTTAAATTGGACCCAGTCTCTGCAAAGTGACCAGGAATCTCTCCTCTTTATGCCCCTTTTCTAACTACCCACTCCTGTTGGTTACGCTAATTTTATCCATATGAGAGTTGGAACCAACTTACGACTGTTTGATAATTGACACTTTGGATTATCCCGTAATACCTTCTTCAATGTCTGTATATTCCAGTGCTCTGGATCAGTATCTAGGAATCATTGGCAACACTGCATGAGGTTGTTTTGTTTTGTTTTGTTTTGTTTTTTACTAATTTAAGAGGAGGCAGAATTTCCCTCCTTTATTTAACTATCCTATTGATATTCCCCTCTCCCTCCATAACTGAAATCAGAGGGGGAGGGGGGTGTTCAGCTGTATTACCAAATCAGGAAGATGTAAGGTTTACAAATTGGCTAAAAATCATGGCTCTCTAGCCATTTCAAACCAGAATAATTTCATTGCTGTTAATCTGCTTGTGTGACAGCATTCCAGCCCACCCAGATGGCGCTGCCTTGTCTGGAGACTTTGTTTATCTTGAAGGACACACACTTCCACACTGTTTGTGAGCCGCACCACCTCCACCACTTCAGTAGTTGTAAATCAAGTGTGTGGATCTCAAAGGGTGCAATTTATCTTTATACAGGAATACATTTCTATGGCTTCCTTCAACCTACCCCCTTCACCCTATTTTTTCTTATCTTAAATTGAGAGAAGGAAGAATTAATCTTATACTCTATCAAAATATTTTCTACCATATTTCCAGATGACATCTGCACTTGAAGAGTCAAAGGAATCCGTGTCTAATATCCTGTTTTTAACTACTGTGGGGGCAGGATGGAAAGGATGATGAGGCTTGCCACACAGCCGATTGGCTTTTTCTTTCGCATGATTCGCCCCTTCTCATTGTGGCAGGGAGGTTATTTCTCATTTTCTTCCTCTTTTGGGGATCATTGTGTATGAAAAGAAACACTTGCGATGACAAACCCAGATTCCAGGTGCCTTGCAGAGGTTGAAGGCCCTACAGGACCGCCACTGCTCTGCTCCTGCCACCACCCCTTCCACTGGCATGACGGAACGAAAGGATGCATGTCTCCCCTTCCTTCCAGGCCCCCCAGTTGTTCAACCCCTTCCCTCATTTATTTTTCTTAAGTTATGTGAATTATTTTTAAATCATCTGTCCTGTTTGTGTGCAGGGTTTTGAAGAAGAAACAGCACAGTGCAATGAGCAAATTCTTTCAGGGTGTGTGGGAGGCAAGGGAGGGAAATGTGGAGGAAAGTCCTTTAAACAAATAGCAAAATATTGAACATGTGTAAAATCCTGTATCATTTATGAAATATGTATAAAAAGCAATGTACCTTCTGGAACAATAAATACTTATTCAATTTTTGAACTACAGCATCTGATTCTTTAAAGCAAAACCAAAAACAACAACAACCACGCAACAAAACTTATTTTCCTGTGATTCTAGTGGAAAACTGTTTACTTCTAAAATTAATTCTTATAAAAATACCATTTTGCAATTAAATTTGGTTCCTAGAGCCTGTATTTTTAAACAGGCATTTAAAAAAAAAAAAGATTTTATTTATTTATTTGGCAGAGAGAGCACAAGCAGGGGGAGCGGCAGCCCATCGCCCCCTGCCCAGCGGGGAGCCTGCTCCTGCCTCTGCCTGCCGCCCTCCCTGCTTGTGCTCGCTCTCTCTGCCAAATAAATAAATTAAATAATTAAACAAATAAAATTATAAAAACAGGCATTTCATTAATGCTTCCTGAATCTAAGATGGTCAATATTTTCCTAATTTTCCAGAGCCACCAGAGGTTAAGTGCCTTCTACAGGCAGAATAAAGCCAATGGCAGTATTGAGACTAATATCCTTATATCCTGATGATCAGGAAGATTTCCATTTTATCTGACCACCAGATTGCCCAGTGTGGTCTCCTGGACTTCAGAACACCGTTCAAGAACGAACCAAGATTAAATACTCATTTTTTTAAGAGTTTGTATCAAATTTGATCAAATCAAATAATGATCACCAAACAGGAAAATATCACATGCTACCTACTCCATTGAAGGCATATCAAAAAGCATATGTTAAATTCCTGTGTTTAGTGCAGTGCGAGATGTACTGAGAGCCTCCTGGCAGCTATAGCAACCCAATACAGACATCCCTGAGACAGAAGTAAAGTGTAAGAAGATAAGATTGAAAATGTTAAGCCACTCTTTGATTTCAACAAATAACGTCTACATATTCAACAACATTGTTAGGCTTTAGTGAATTTTCAGTGGAGATAGATAATGGAGAGTTAAACCCATTTGTGAGTGTAGGTAATGCGGTTTTGCTAAGTAAGGGATAATAGACCTTTAGAGCTGGCAAAGTGAAAGGGTTCTCTCATGGTACGACTGCTGGAGCGGCAACTGGTATCTCCTGGTTAAAAATGCAAGTTCTCTGATCCCTACTGAATCAGAAACTAGGCATGGGGCCAGCAATCTGTATTTAGTAAGTCCCTCTGGTGATTTTGATGGGAACCGTTGGTCTAGTTAAACCAGAGGACATCTATGTCACAACTCATCAGTGAATCCTATGACCAAACAACCAGAGTGACAGAGGATTGGTGAGTATGGTGAATATGGTAAATGGAAAGAATAGAGCTCATGTCACATGTACTATTCTATCTTGCTTACCAGTAGGAGGGTAATGAGCACATAGTGGATGCTCACAAAAACAAAAACGGGTGCCTGGGTGGCTCAGTCAGTTAAGCATCTGCCTTCGGCTCAGGTCATGATCCCGGGGCCCTGGGATGGAGCCCTGCGTGACTGTTCAGCAGCGAGTCTGTTTCTCCCTCTCCTTCTGCCCCTCCCCCGCTGCTGTGCTCTCTCTTTGAAAAATAAATAAAATATCTTAAAAATAGATAAATTAAAAAAACAAATAGGTGGAATTTTTAAGATCAATCTAGAAAGATTTCACAGAAAAGTGGAATTTCTTAGATTTTGGAACTCAGTTTCACTGTTAAGAGTTACGTTTCCTTTTTCTGGGATGCCTGGGTGGATCAGTGGGTTAAGTGTCTGCCTTCAGCTCAGGTCATGATCCCAGGGTCCTGGGATGGAGTCCCACATCGGGCTCCTTGCTCAGCGGGGAGCCTGCTTCTCCCTCTGCCCCTCCCCCTGCTTGTGCGCACTCTCGCTCACTCTCTCTCTGTGATAAGTAAATAAAATCTAAAAAAAAAGTTATGATTCATTTTTTTTAAAGATTTATTTATTATTTGAGAGAAAGAGAGCAGGGGAGGGGAAGAGGGAAAGAGAGTGAATCTCAAGCAGAACGGAGCCGGAGGCGGGGCTCCATCCCATGACCTGAGCTGAAATCAAGAAGTCAGTCACTCAACTGACTGAGCCACCCAGGCGCCCCAGTTGTGATTCATTTTTATTACTGCCAACGATCTTTTGTTTGTTGCTCTCCCAAGTAAGTACAAACTCCTTGTCTTCCAGAATGTACTACATAGTTACTTCCTTGGGATAAATATATAGGTTAATTTTAATGAATCCTACTGATTATAAAATTGGCCCACTTTATAAATTTTCCTTTGCATATGTTTTATAAATGCATCATCCACTGAGCAATCCCTCATTCTTGAAACTGTCCTCAGCTCCTGTGACTCTACTCTTGGGTTTCCTTCTTTAACTCTCTATTTCTTGGTCTCATTTGCAGTATCCTCTTCCTCTGCCCACATCTTTGATGTTGGGCTTCTCCAGGGTTCCATCTCAGACCCAATTTTCCATGGATGATCTCACCCACTCCCCTCCCCCATTTATATGCCAGTAGTTCTCAAATTGTTACGTAAGCTCAAATCTTTCCTGAACAGCAGACTGGTTTACCTATATCCTAACTGATCAATTTCCCCCGCCCCCGTGCATTAAATTCCTTCAGTGTCACCAGAGTATTTTTGTTTTTAATTTCTAGTAGCACATACTTTAGAAAAATAAGAAAATATGAACAAGAATTAATATTATATGGGAAAAGGAACGCTAAAAGACACACAAGAAGCAGTCAGACAAATCTAGAATGTGAGACATTCTATAGGACAAATGACTGGCTTTCTTCAACAAATGGTGTGGGGATTGGGGAAGAGGGGAGACCATTCTAGATTAAAAGAATTTAAGAGACACAACCATATGCAATGTATGGCTCTTACTTGAATCCTGACTCAAACTAGCAATGCAAAGAAATCTTTGAAACAATTGGGGACATTTAAATGTGAAATGGGTATTAGATGGTACTGTTTCCGTAGTAGTAATAATGACATAGTTATGTAAAAAAGGCCTTATCTTAGAAATGCATCTTGGTGTATAGATAAGATTGACAAAATATTAGTAATTGCAGCTGTGTTTCTTGTTCTTTCTACTTTTGTATATATTTGAAATTTTTCGTCATAAAAAATTAAAATGAGAGGGCAAGTCAACTAAAAAGGAAAAAATAGGAATAAGAAAAAAAAAAAAAAAAGTCCTACCATCCTGGGAATGCTTGTTTACAGAACCAAAGGGCTATCTGGTGAAAGTCCTTGACTCTGGCAATCAATCCTGGCAGCAGTCTGGGTTTATCTATGCACACGTCCTCTGTTCCTCTGCAACACGTATGAAGTACTCAGATGGTTTCTCAGGGACAGGAAATTGCAGGGTTTTGTTTTTTCTGTTAAGAGCACTAACTCTTAACTGCAATGAGACAGTTCCTTGGTCCCAGAATCATCCACTGCTGCCATCAGATTGCAACTTAATAAGCTAAAAATGGCCAGGTTGCCTGTGTTCTGCCAGCATTAGTGATAAAGTGGCCAACTATAAATTCAGATCACCAGATACCCCCTTGCTAGAGCTTTCCACTCTAGAGCATGGTAAACTCTCTGCTTGTGGGAATCACTTTTACCTTCATCACTATCAAAAACCAGAGACAGCATTGCACTTGGCCCCTAGTAAGCACTCATGTTTAATTGAACTGAAACGCTTACAGGAAAGGAGCCACAATAATTTGAAGGCCACTTAGCATAGGAAAAAATTGTGATAAGAGATTAGGAAGACAAGTTTACGAACTACTTCCTAAAACAATAAATATTCCTTCCCCAGCCACTAGGAATTTGATTCGAACAAGAAACATAGATGAGAGAAAGGGTAAGAATGATAGAAGCCCAAAGCATCAGGTCAAGGTAAGATTAGGAGGGAGAAATTTTGGTTTCATTCAGATCCTTCTTTAATAAAGTATTAAAAAAAAAAAAAAAAAACCTTTTGGGGCGCCTGGCTGGCTCAATTGGTAGAGCATGCGACTCTTGATCTCAGGGTCGTGAGTTCAAGCCCCATGTTGGGTGTGTCCTACTTTTAAAAAAAATGGTGGGGAAAAAAAAAACTTTTTCCCCTACCCTTCTTTTTGTCCTTCCCCTTCTCATTATGTTCAGTAACAGTGCTTGCCAATTCTTAGGTGTCCACACACTATAGAATGTCAAGGAGCTGGCATTCCGTTGTCTGGGGACACATAATATACAGATCCTTTCATTTTGCCTCTTCTGTCTAAAAATGAAATTCTAGTAAACATCCGTTTTTAGTGTTGTTAATTTAATGAGTCATTCCTAATTTGAAGCCCCTGCCTCTGTCTTAGTGTGAGAATTAGTAAAATAAGTAACACTAAACCATTTTAAATTGGGGGAAGAAAGGCACTATGAAAACATGAGGTATTGTTGCTTGAGTTGGTAAAAATTCAACTAAACCTGGTTTCTTTAGGAAGTTTGGAGACCAAACACCATAATAGAACACAGGACCTTGCTTCAAGACAATATCGTCCCCGTTCCACACCTTTCCTTAGTACTTTTTGGTGTGCTATTGTAAACTCCTTCACCATCTGACCAAGACATTTCCTAATGACCAGCTGCAACAATTTGGCTTTATCCCATTCTCATTCCGTAAGCAATGGTAGGGCTGCAACTTCATGAAATTAATTCCTAGAAGTCACAAAACAAGATTTTGACAGGAGGGGGTGTCCCTCATTTAGAGTTCCCTTCTGGATAAGATACTGGAGGCCTTGTTGCAGGGAATTCTTGAGAGAAAACAATAGGAGGATGAGGGACTGTGATGGGTTTTTCCCCCCCTAAAGAAAAATATCAATAACCCTGTTGACAGTGTAAAGCAGTGTTTCTATCTGGGGTCAAGGCCAGAGCAATGGACACCTTATCCCACTCATCCTCTTCCTCTGATAAAGCCCCAGCCAGTACCGTAAAGTCTTTTTTCAGAAGAGCCTAGCGGGCTTTTTTTTAAAAGTGCTTGAAAAAGAAAGGGACAAAGGACAACTGAAATTAAGAGGATTTCCAGTCTGTTCTGGTGGCTGGTCCAGAAGGATGTTTCAGTTCCTGCTTCTCACCT